ACTATTCGCGAAGGACTATGTCATGAGTCGAACTCAGACCCTATCTAGGATCGAGTCGCGAATAAGGCTAAGAGCCGTGTATTGCATTCGCCCCCTGACAAGGGTCACGGAAGGCACGACATCAGTCGGACAAGGAGAACATATGAATTAAAGTGCGGGGCACTCTCCGGAGATTGGATGTAGACATGTGCGTCGCACGATGGCAATCCTACAAGGGGATCAGGCCTTGTATGGGTGTAAATACCTTATGTCCAAGTCTGGTAGACTGTGCCGCTATTGGCGGTAGTATGTCGGAGCCGTACAGTGCCATTGTTATTGACTCGGTCTGTGTGGTAAGGACCTTGTGCGTTGGCTGACCGTATTAACGGTTCTGACACTGATGAATCATCATAGTGTCGTTGACATGGTGTTGATGAGGGACACGATTCGTGTTCTACCTCATTGGAGACAGAATTCTCAATGACCGCTCTAGTCATACTAGGTTGATGATGAAACATCGCTCTAGATATTTAGCCAGCGTTGAGTACTTCCACGCTACTAGATAAATGCTAGACGAATCTTCCACGCGTTCCGTTTTTGGATCGTGGAGTGAGTAGGATTGCTACCGCAACCTACTCTATCTCACTCTACAGTCTCCCGCGGGAGTTCAGATCTACGATCCTTTGATTGTGGATCTCTCTCGTTGATTAGTTTTTCATAGCTTTCTAATCCTCTCATAACTTTCATTCTCTCAAACTCAAAACACTCGAAAGATCTTTCCACTAGCTTTTAGCGTAGTGCAGTACCCATGGTTCATCACTCCAGGCTGCGCTTCTTGTCCTACGCCGCCTGGAGCAGCAGCACCTTTAGTTGGTCCTACAGGATCTACGCCAAGCCTGTCTTGTGCCGCTTGTAGATTATGATGTTCTGCAGATTTCAACAGTTTTTGACACAACTATTCCTACTAAATTTAACTTTTGAGTTGAAGGGGTCCATCATCCACGCAATTGCCGCACATCTTGTCTTGCTTCTTCTGTTCTACCCGCATACCTCATCATTTGCTTGATCTTCCTTCTTCCTTCAAAAACAACGCTGGAGCGATACATAAGTGTTTGAACTGGAGCAAAACATAGGTTTGAACTCTACAAGATGAGGCAATCGTTGCCTCCATTGGTACCGGAAGTCTCTCCAGCAAGCACAGCAGCAACCATCAAGGATTTCTGCGCTGGTGGTAGGGTGCTCTTCTGCGGACCTTGAGGGTTGACCGCCGCTTTGGCAGCCGCCTGAATGGCTTCATCTGAAGTCTGGTTCACCATTGTTGCTTGCTTGAAATAGTCTAGCTCGACCAATTTTTATGCTAAAAACCGAGCCAACTAATTTGCTCGTTGTGCAAGATCCAACCGTGTCCAGAGTTGCGGGGAATGGGCTTTCAGAGCAGCTATTTTTTGACCACCTGCAAGTTTGTGTTAGTTTGTCAGTTTGTCTCTTTGATCATGTTTTAAAATTCCAAGAAACTTCCATGTCCCATTTTTTCTTCCAGATTTGGACACTTAGATACTAGCTAGTAGTACCATTACATGTACTACGTCATTTTCCTTATTTTTCTAAAGAACCATCATTGTGTCATTCTTCCAGACTGTGCCATTCTTCTGTTTTCAGTCATCTTTCAATAAACAATTTGGACCCTGGCACATGTACTGTAAGGTATGTAAAGCAAGCACCAGGTACACGTATTCCCGCAACTTCGGTGGTTATTGCTCCTTCGGAAAAGGAATTCAACTATCATACTAGTAGCTAGCTAGTGTTCGCTCTACTATCGTTGTCACATGACAACTTAGTTGTCACATGACATCTACATATATGAATATAGTATATCGATTTTCTCCATACGAACCACCCATTCCAACCGTTGCGCTCTAATCTCGATACTATAGTTAACGTCATGTGTGAATTTGGCCGGGTTTCCTCGGCTTCATTGCTGGATATGAAGATAGTAGTTAGGCTTGATCGGTTGTTGCAATCGTGCGACAACAAAAAATCATTATTTTCGTTTTCGTCTTTCGGTGAGTAAGAAAGGAGTAGAAGATGGTGCTTTCAGCCTTGTATTCCAGCGCACTAACACTCTTGTTGCCTCCACTGTTGTTACCATGCCAGGGCCTGATCCTCGTAGAGTAGTTGGTGGCCACTGCTGGGCCCATGCCATCGCTGTGTCGCGAGATGCAAAGCGAATTTATGGATCGCTCATCAGCAAGACTTGGCTCAAGGGCAAGGTATTGTCTGTCTCATCAGAGTTGTCCAAGCCAACAGCGAAGAGAGCAACCACCTACATTACTGCAGAGTATGTTGTTGGGGAGGAGCGCAAAATCAAGAAGCTGTCGCTTCAGACTCTCAAGGAAAAGAATCCAGAGGCACCAATCGTGGAAACTGTCAACAATGACAATGACAATGACAATGACGCTGCCGCTGCCGCTCCGCCGCCTCCACCACACCACCACCACCACCACCACCACCCCGCACCGCCGCCGCCGCCGCCAGCACTGCAACAGCCGCCGCAGCCTCCTCTGCTGCCACTGATGCCGACGAGAATCCATTATCTTCGCCAAATTCCAACAACAACACAAGTCCAGCATCCAGCACCACGACTGCTCCTGTTCCTGTCAGTGTCAACCACGGCCGCGAGTGGTTTGAGGGTGTCACTGATGTGGATGTCAATGGTCCTGTTCCAGCGAAGTTTTGGACTATGACTGATCAGTACAGTGGTCGGGAGTTTTCGCCAGGATGCGATGATCATGCTGAGAAGCAGTACACCCCATTCAACTTTTTCATGGCCTGTTTTCCCAAAGAACAGTTAAAGGCAATGATTGACAGCACCAACGCGAAGCTCCGACTTGCACAGAAACCTGCCACCTCGATGGGAGAAGTGTTGAAGTGGTTGGGCATCTGCATCCTGATTACTCGATTCGAGTTTGGTGAGCGTGGAAGCCTTTGGGCACAGAAGACTGGGAACAAGTACATTCCTCCACCTGCAATTGGCAAGAAGAGCGGCATGTCAAGAGACCGGTTCGATCTTCTTCTAAAGCACATGGTCTGGAGTTTCCAACCAGATGTCCGTCCAGCGGATGTTTCGTCTGAAGAACATCGATGGGCATTGTGTCAAGACTTTGTTAACCGCTTCAACGATCACCGAAAGAAGTACATGACACCATCGGAGATAATTGTGGTGGACGAGTCCATAAGCAGGTGGTATGGATTGGGCGGACACTGGATCAACATGGGACTACCACAGTATGTTGCCATCGAACGGAAGCCTGATGATGGATGCGAGATTCAGAACTCTGCTTGTGGTCTGTCGGGAATTATGCTACAGCTGAAGTTGGTTAAATCCGCAGCGGCCATTGCTGCTTCCGACAAGGAGAAGGAACAGCAGGAAGCAACTGGAGCGGAGGAAGCAACGAACGGGTAAGTCTCAGGTTTTCGTGTGAAGAACATTGTCATTATTCTTTATTATTATTCTAACTGTCACCGGAACTTCTAATCCCGCATCACACCACAGGTTTCTGCACGGGTGCAACATCCTGTATGACTTGGTCAAGCCATGGGCTAACAGTGGCAGGATTGTTGTGGCGGACTCATACTTTGCATCCGTCCAAGCAGCCAAGAGGCTTTTCGGCATTGGCCTTCGCTTCATTGGTACCGTCAAGACAGCAACCAAGGAATTCCCAATGAATTATCTTGGAACCAAACAGTTGAATGGTGGAAAGGGAGATCGACATGGCGTTATCTGCAAGGATGAAGAAACTGGAACCAACTTGATGGCATATGTGTGGGTGGATAGAGACCGCCGGTACTTTGTCTCCACTTGTTCCTCATTGGCTGCAGGTCATCCATGTATTCGAAAGCGATGGCGACAGGTTGACAAAGAACCAAATGCCCCTCCGACACTTGTTGAAGTCAATGTTCCCCAACCAGAGGCTTGTGAGATCTATTACACCGCATGTGGTCGCATTGATCAACACAACCGGTTTCGTCAAGCAGGGCTCATGTTGGAGAGGAAGCTGAAGACCACGATGTGGCACAGAAGAGTCAATATGTCACTCTTTGGAATGTGTGTTGTTGACTCTTATCTTCTTGCAAGAGGATGCCAAGGCAGCAACTGCAGCTACTCAACCTCTGGTGAGTTCTTTGCTACTCTGGCAGAGGAACTCATTGACAACACCTATGAGTTGAGGGCATTGAGGAAGCGAACTGCAAGAGCTGCAGCAAAAGTTGGGCACAATGGCACTCATGTTGCCAACAATGAAGATTGTCCCTTCTCCCTCAATGCATCCAAGCAGCACATTTCTCCTACACCAACCAAGAGAGGCAGGAAGAACAATCCTAACCACAAGGCACAGGGCAAATGCGCCATCTGTCATGCTTACACATCCTTTGTCTGTCGCGAGTGCCAGAAATACCAACCAAACCACAAGGGAAAGCAGTATTGGATTTGCAACAACTCTGGACAGCCTTGCATGGGAAATCACATATTGAATGATCACCCAGACAAGCAGGAGATCACCACGGCTTGGTAGTTGATGCATGCATCACCTTGCTTTGTTAACTTCCTCTTGTCGAGTATGTCGAACATGTCTGTTGTTGAGGTTCTTGTATGTGGCATGTTCTGATTTCAAACAGATGGCAGTGAAATTCTACGCTAAGTAGTACTAAACTAGTGATAATTGTCATGCGACATCAACGGTCATCTCTCTAATTCAAATTCTGGGTACAATTTCTACCCTAACTGGTACATAAATGATTTGCGATGTCATGTGACAATAATCCGATGTCACATGACAATTTCTCCCAGTAGAGCGAACACTAGTAGGGCAGTGACGCCTGATGCCAAAATCCTTAATAAAATGGTGTATCTTTAGAACACCGGTCTGATCGCCCTTTTAGAATGCATACCAGTGCTACTAGCTAGCTAGCTAGCTAGCTAGCTAGCTAGCTACACGTAGCAGGAATTTGCTTCCAAGTTCCTTCTGGCTTGAGAGCACCAAAACCATTGATTGAGCACACAATGACGTTCGATTGAAAGTGCTTGATGTACGGGTCGCAAGAGAAGTGAACCAGTTCCGACATCTACAGAACATCACGGTGGTTGGTTTGCCAGTTCAACAGCGTCTATTAGGACTGCTAGTAGGTCGTGTACTTTTGCTTGACTTGAGTTCAATGCTGCCTTCGATCGATTCAGGATACTTCATTCTCTCGAGTTGTAGACGATAATCGAAGTCGTAGCTAGCAATGCGAGTAGATGAATTACCGGGGGTCGCTCTGTTGTCAAGGACGTTGCTCAATCTTTTGGCTGTTGTCATCGTAGCCACTGCGGCTCATTATACGACGCGTCGCTATCTCGTCGCGTACACCGTCTTGCGACGGCATTTTGAGAATCTGAAAAAAAGGGAAGAGAGAGAAATACGAGAAGGAGAGACACGTCACAAAGAAATATGGAGATCCCACGACACTGCCGAGATCCAAATCCTAGAATCGAATCCCCGATTCCTCTGGAGATCGAACCGTTAGACGTCGTGGTCTTTGTTTGCTTGGCCGCGCCGGTCTTTCTAGCAGCATACTTTGTACCTGAAGTCCATTGGCCCGTTGTCTTTCTTTTTGCCTTTGGAGGATCTACTAGCTTTGCGAAAATTGTCATGGAACCCATCCTCGGCTGGATTGTTGCACATGTCCCAAGATGCCGCATTTCCACCGGTACCGGAACCACCAATGACAAAATTCTGCGCAGACTCCGGGCTCCCATTGTCGTTCCTGCGACCAACGACACGAACTCGGATGAGGCTTGTGCAGAAGAGACTTCAACCTTCTTCACTGAACCCCACCAGCATCGAGCAAGTAGACGCTCTCGATGGACCCTTACACCTCTCTTTCTGGTGGCCTCTTCCGTTTCTCTCGCTGCAGGTGCCTGCTGGGTGGTTGCAACATTTTGGGTTTCCGAACTTTCCGAACTTGACGATGACAACAACGTGGCCTTAAATCATCAAGGAAATCAACGTAATGCTGCTTGGTCTAGGGAGGATCAAATCAAGTACCATTTCCAGTGGATCTACCAAGACATTATGGGGGCTTGCATCACCTGCTCCTTTCTGTCGCGACTACAGGTCAATTCACTTCGAAACGCCACTGTCTTCTTGGGGGCTCTATGGTTCTACGATTTCTTCTTCATCTACCTGGTCCCACTGTTTTGGGACGATTTGAATGCTGGGTCGCCGTCGTCCCCTGGCCACAAAACACTCCCCATGGTCTTGCTCCTCCCGTGGTTCGGCCATTCAGAGTCTCTCCGGTACTCCACTTTGGGATTGGGGGATGTGATTCTGCCGGGGTTGGCCCTCAGCTTGGCTGCACGGATTGACCATGCCAATCAATTGGCCACGTTGGTCAACATCATGCCGCAACAAAACCTTGCAAGAAACAGTGCTGCACCACCCTCAATCTACAGCCTTGTGCCAATGACCCATGCCTTCACCGTTGGCAAATGCCTGTCGACCGCGGCACTGTGGTTGAGTAATGGCCATCCTCAGCCAGCTCTAGTTTTTGTGAATCCAATATGTTTGGGGATGTTAGCGTTGTGGGCACGCCTTCAGTGTTGGGATGATGTTTGGATTGGTCCTGTCACCTTGACTTACGCAGAGAACCTTGTCCAACATGCTCGAGGTTTGTTGGCAGATAATGACGAGGATGACAGACCCGACGGTGGTGACTCTGATGGCATTGAAGAGTCAGCCCCGTGACTGTGGGGATCTTTTCAGTATAGCTGCACCAATTATTTACTGCAGAAAATTTCCTGGCTGCCAGTGGCAGGTGGTTAAGCCCAGCGGCTCCCATGCTCTACCGGTAACGCACCATGATTCCGCCACCTCCAAAGATAAAGCTCAGCCCCAAAACTCGGTCCCGCAGTGGTGTCTTCGTACGGGTACATGTACCAGAACATCCTCACCCACATTGTACAATACACATTGCATCCAATCGCTGGTTGACAGGAGGACATCCAAACAGGATAGGAGGGTTGATGGCTTGCTCGCATTCTACCGCCGTACTGCTCGTTGTGGGCCCAGTCTTTTGGTTTGAGTACGTCTTTGCAAACGATAGGATGCCCACAGTAAGCTATCTAAACCCCCATTCACATCTTGACGCCCATTGGTGCCAACTTGCGATGTCCAGCTGCTACTACTGACTGGAGCAGTGCGCTGGCTATCTCATTCTAAAAACGCAGTAGCTTCCAATAGCTTTTAGTTATTATTCTTTACCAGTGAATGTGACAGCTGCAGGCATTCTTTCGTTCAACATGAGCTTTGGCTGCTACAACAGGGAGAGCCCCCTGGTTGTCAATTTAACTACCGGTACCTTGTGCCATCCTGGGACTTGCACACGAGCCACAGTATTGGAACCTGCACTTGTTGTGCTCAAACTTGCACACGGAGCATGTCCACATCTGAGGTTCACGACAAATCCCACAGAACCTGTAAATCTTTTCATTGATTTCTCCACATGAACACTTCCAGATTGCCATTTGCTCAGGAGTCATCACAGGGGTTGCATCGTCGTCAAGGGTGTCTACTTCTGGCAGTTGAGATGACGAATCTTGCGTATTTGGTGTGCGCTCACTGGTCTGAATCGGGTCCTTCTGAAGTACAGCAACCGAGCGAGGCACAGTTTCCGCCAAGTTGAAAGCCTCTTCGTAGTGCGTTTGTTCCGCGTCTTGAACTTCACATTCACGTGCTACATCTGGGCTTTGGGTGGAACTGTGGCTGTTGCTGCATGAGCGGAAAGGAGTTATAGGTTGCCCGGGCAAGAAGCAGTCATCGTCATCTTCAGATTCCTCAGCTTTTCCAACCTCCTTATGAAGGCCTGTCTTGAGAGGTCCCAACAGCTGCATAAGATCATTGGTATCAACGTTCAAAAGATCACTCTTTCGCCTGCCCTGGCGTTTCAGCATTTGAAACTCGGCGTTAGCAGCTCGTGGTGCTGCCGATGATTTTTGATGGTAGCCCAGGGCAATTTTTGCATGTGCCGAATGGTTCCGTCTTAAGACGCCTCTTTGCTTCCCGGTCTTGGCTCCCGCGCCCTTCAATCTGTTGTAGCTCGATGAGTGCTTCAGCTGTGTTTCATAGGCACCAATACTACTAGATGCTTTGTGGATGAGCGACATGGCTCGAGTTCGGTTTTCGTCCGGATTTGATGATTGGCGTGGCACCTTTGAAAGAGGCTTCTTGATGCTTCGAACCTTCCTCATACATGGTTCTTCCTCACCGGATTGAGTTTGTACCTTGCAGTCCGACCTAGTAGAACCCTCGTCATCGTCTAGGGCGCCAGTGCTTTCTCTTTCGGGAATTCTTCGAGAGCCCCTTCGCTTAGGGGAAACGCAGCTCCTACCGGGTCCACTCTTCCGAAGCTCCCGTCTCTTTAGACTACCTCCACTTGAATTCCTCTCGAGGGGTGGCCCACCATTCAGCCTGAGCTCTCTTAGCCTTATATTTCCTGTACTCTGATTGCGCCGTATCTGAGGCCCGGCATTATTACTTTCCTCATCATTTTGCTTGCCTCGGTGATCAGTGGTTTCTGCGTTGTCGTCGATAGCGGTTCTCCTTGAGGCTCGCCTTCGGGCGCTGCAGGACCGTCGAACGGATTCTCGTTTGGCTTGTCTGTCTTCCTTACTATTACTAATAGCTTGTTTGACTTCGTTGACCAAGTCATCCGTTCCTTGCGCCAACAATTTGTTGCTGCTATTTCGCCGACTCCTACGTGATGCGCGTCGGCTATGTCGTCGCTGTAGCGTAAATTCCCGAGGCTCCGTGGTCGTGATTGTTTCGTCCTCTTGTTTCAAGGGATCGTCTTGTTTCAGGGATTCGTCATCTTCCTGTTCACTGTTATCATCTTTCTGTTCCCCGCCAAAATCTGAAACGACGGAATCGTCATCATTGCCGCCGTGGAAAAACTGATTCAACATTTCCTCTTCACTTGATGATTGCTTGCTCGTAGTTCCATGATTGCTAAAGTTCATGAGGGACAAAGGATTGATATTGATGCTTGGCAGGGGCATTTTGAAGACGCCAGAACTTCGTTTCGGATTGCTCTCACCAACATCGTCCTCTGTTGGGTTGGCGTCATCCGCGTTGGATTGTTGGCGGCTGCCTTCTCTCAACTTTAGGAGACTTGCCGGTATACGCAACTCCTTTCCGTCCTTGCCACTCGTCTCTTCATGCATCCCCGAGTTACTGCTACTACTACCAACACTGCAAACTGAAGAACGGCGGTTGCTCCCACTAAGAAGAGTGTTGGGCGCCGCAAGCTGGAACTGATCAGATGAAGACACTCCGGGAAGCTTCATGGTGTGTTTTGATTTTTGTGTTGTGTGGTGTTTCTAAAGTATGCTGGATTTCTGCGCTCGTCAAAGGGTATTTTGCGCTGGCTGATGATGATGTCACTTTCTTCCCCTGTGCATGCATTTCACTTCACACTCATTCATAAGAAACATTCAATTTCAGGTACATTTTAAAAATTTAAACCCCTGCTGCACCAATTTCGAACCCTCAGATAGTTTCACCCCAGGATCTCCTTCTGAGGCTTCCTCCTCACCACCATCCACACTACAACATCTCAGTCTAGATACGGTAGGTTTGTTCATTGGCTGTGGCTTCTTGGCTGGAGGGCAATCTATCTCTGTTGTTTTGGGTTGTCACTAAATCTAGCACAGAGTTTTACTTTCTTGGCAATCAAAGGCACGAGCGCATGGAGGAACAGCTCTTTCTTACTCAACATGGTGTGAGCCCTGCTGTCGACTCTTTCAGTCACAGGGAAATACATGGTGGATAGTCTAGATACTTTAAAAAAAAATCCTTCTGAAAACTCAGGGCTCACTTTCTTGTAATGGAGCTTCTTAATTTCAGGTGGAGTGTATGTCACACTTGATTGCTGGATGGAAACGTGCGACCCTTAGCGGTACTAAAATCGTATGACCAGACTACCTGGTAATGTAGCCTTGAGGCTTGAGGGTACTTGCTGGCAGGCTTAGCCGGCTAGTCTATCCGTGCCTGTTCCCGCTCAGTGAACCCAGACCCAATGCAACCGGTACCGGTATGTACTACACTGCAGTACCAATAGACTAGCTTTAGCATTGAAAAGGCCACTACACACAGCAGCACAGCAGACAATCCACACTTCCGTCGAGCGAACGACAGTTTCTCCGAAAGAACTGGCATTTCCCTTCATTTAAGAAGCTCTACTCCTCACCTAATCTCACTTGTTTTGCAGAAATGAGGAGAAGACAATCAAAAGTGACCACAAATAAATTTTCTCCAACGTCTTCCCAGTCGCCACCGTATCATTACCCTGAGTAGATCATACCCGCAAGCGCGGAGCTCGAGTCGAGTCGGCTTGTTCTATTACACTGTACAGTGCCGCTAACGCTTAAGCAATCTCGTGCGGTACCGGTGGGTCTACCGTACATCTATGGTCTGGGCTCTTGCACAGGATCTTGCAGCTGGCCAGAGCACAGTATGGTACATCGTATAAGAGGCGTTCTGCCATCTTGCTTTGAATTGGCTCGACTACATGTCCCTTCTCATCGCTTTCTTCGAGACAAGCTACACTATGTACGGTGGAGTGGTATTGCTTCCTATCAGCAACAAAATGAGGAGATGTATCTTTTCTGGCTAGTTAGCTACATGTAGTTGCTTCTCTCATTAGGCGGCCTCTCGCTTGTTGCGGACCGAAAGCAGAACCTTGTTTGTTCATGCATCTTGCGACCTTCGGGTTCCGCATCCTCCACAGTGAGGAAAGCGACACTTGTTCCGATCAAACTGAGAGAATGCAGGAAAAAGGGATATGTGAGGGGCATGCTGCCATCAATGATTGTTTTGCGTGCGCTTCACACACAACTTGTCACTTACCTGACAGGAACTGCAGGTCCACAACTTTTTGGAGGCGCACATGCCGCAAAAGTTAAAGTCGTCATCATTCTCTGCACCACAAATGCAGATCCAAGGCTTTGGAGGCTGGACGATGGAAATTTGAATATTGCTAAGCTCAGACATTGTGCTTGTCATTGTGCTCGACATGGTGGATGTCGTACGTTTGGAGTCGTCAAGACGAAATCTATCGTCCTTCTTGACAAAGCTGCGACGACGGGGTCGCGAAGCTGGAGGGCAGGAAGCCTTGGGAAAGCTTGAAAAGCTCTTGCGCGACGCCACTCCTCCCAATGAAGCAATGGCTTCGTCCAGTGTCCGTTGAATGATTTCAGTGGGGACATGATGGGATGCTTGCACGTGTACAGCGTGCGGTGTGCACTCGAGGTTGTCGAGTGACAACCTGCTACTGTCCTCACGGCTAATCCTGGAGTTGTCATCACGCGGGCCACGACCCAAGTCGTCTTGGCCCATGAATCCGGAAAGCCTTCCATTGCAACTTGCACCACCAGGAACAAACTGGATCGAACCAGGAATGCCGGCAGGGACGTCAGGTGTCCCACTTCGACATTCACCAGCCACCTTGATGTCTTGTTTGGACCACGAGAAATTCGCGTTGGATGATACATCGCGTCCTCGCAACATCATATTGATATCGCCTGCAGATCGATGCTGCCGACGCATCGTTCTTTTGGGTGGGCCATCGACAGGCATATCGTTGATGGCCCGAATTCGAGTGGGCGACCTTGAAGATCCTTTTCGTCGCCGTCCATGCCCAGATCCTTCCGCCGTCGGGACTTGACAACGAACCTGAGGTTCTTGCAGGGGCTCTTCCGCCGTACGTAAGAGCGATGGCTCCATGCTTGGTGGTACCAGCTGCTCCGTGGACGAATTGAATGCATCATTCCATCCTTCCTCATCACCGAAGCTGCAGTCGTCATCGGTTTCACCATGGAATGGGGTCGCGTACCTCTGAGGGGGGGTCATCCTTTCATTTCGCAAGTCCGGAAATGAGGAGTGCAGGGAGCGACGCGTCAGGTCTTGCTCGCCTTGTCCCAGTTCTTCTTCCCCCTCTCCGAGGAATGGAGTCCCACGTCTCTCTGGTGGAAGATTCATTAGGGCAGAGTGGTGAGGTAGCATCTTACCCCTCCAGTCTTCTTGTCCCTCTGTTTCATCTGTCGTTTCTTCTGCCCCCTCGTCACCTTCGATGATGAAGGGAGTAGGCAAACGTTGGGGCATCATCGGCATCATCATGCCTTGAGCACAATGGGGGTTCCAGGAAGGAGGTGCTTGCCCGTGGACATTGGTGGCCATCAGGCCAAGTGCACCGAGGTGATCCGTTAAAGTCGGGCGTCTCTCAGGTTGCTGAACCATCATCAGGGCAGAGTGATGCGGAAAGGTCATATCTGCCCAAGGTTGTTCCGGCATTCCGGTCCAAGCCTCCTGATCTCCAAAGTAGCCTTCATTTGCGCCATCTTCGAGCTCCTCGTCTCCCTCTGGGATAAACGGTGTGGTACCTCTCGAAGGAATAATCATGTGGTTGTGCGCAGAGTTAGTGGGATATTGGGGCATCATGTTCCAGCCATTGATGGAATCATCCTCACATGGCGTAGGGAGGCGTTTTGGCGGAACCAGCGTCATGTTTCGTCGAGACACGGCACCTCCATCGTCATCGTCTCCACGCCCATCTTGACACGGCGTGGGGAGCCGCTTTGGACGCATCAACATTACCTGATCCCGCACCGCTCCTCCTTGGTCTTCATGGTCGTCTTGACAGGGAGTTGGCTGTCGTTTGGGCGGAATCAGAATTAGTTTGTGCTTCAGAGTTCCTGGACCGTCATCGGGAAGGAGCGAGGGTGTGGTCGTAGCCTCGGGCAGGCCCCTGGAGAAAGGATGAGAATCCGCCATGATGATGGTGGTGGTTGATGGATGATGGTTGATGGTGGATGGTTCTATTATTTGGGCTTCAGCTGAATTACATAGGAATTGTGTGCCAAACCTTGGGCAGCTGGGCCAGAGCATCTGCCCGGAACAAAATAAAATTGCAAAGCAGCTGCTCGGTGTTTTTGGACCGGCCTTCGTCGCACATCAGTTCAAACGTCTTTTAAGGTCTGGCCGTCGCTACACTTGGTTTTTCTTCAAATTGCTCGATTTGGGTGGGGATAACGACCAATCTTCTTTTATTTGACACAAATTCGATCAAAAGAACCATAGAATTGTCATTTGTCGCCCTACCACGGCCAGACCTTAAGAGCCAAATCCTCGATTTTGAACTGATGTGGTCGTTGCGTTCGATACGGTGATAAGGGTAGACAGCAAGATCTTGAACGGTACTGCACCTTCTTTTGACGTTCGTTTTCCAGTCGCTATTGTTCAATTTCAGCCTTGTTCGTTAAATAGATTAAGAGCCTTCTAGTGCGTACATCTGCGAAAAGAACCAGCCTTCAACCTATCATGCGCCTGGACAATACAAGATCACATAAGTGCACGATTTTGTAAAATATTTTATTTAAACGATTGTACTCCTGCTCAGTTCTGAGAAGAGTCTTGATGTCTTGATTACCGTGGGTACCGGTCCGCAAGACTGAACATTGAGCTCACTGGACATCATACCGGTTCCTACTGAGCACTCCTACTACAAACCGTACCGGAACGATTTTAGCAAAGTTGTCTAAGTGATTAACACACTCTACTCGTACACTAAATACTGGTACAGTACTAGTACATGTACCAGTATACTCTGTGCTTAATACCGTACGGTACTGGGGTGCAGTGTGGAGGGTGGATCGGTGGAGAATTTCCACCCACCACCATGGCGAAGTCACTGTCGCAAAAACAGTTAAGGTGGTTGCCCTTGTGAACCAATCGAAACGACTGGTGCGTTCAAGAGCATTGGAGGATTTATCCGTGTGGCTCTAGTTCCTACTCGTGTACAGAGTTGGTACCATGGTACAGCCACCTTCTTTTACAGGCAGATCCATCTACTAGTAGCTACTACTTCAGTAGCTAGGAGCTAGCTAGTAGGAGTACCGGTACCGAGTACTCGGAGTAGTCTACTCCACTGACTATGGATATTATGATCCTTTGGTCGAGTCGAGTCGAGTCGAGTCGAGTCGAGTCGAGTCGGTCCTACTAGTCTACTAGCTAGTACCCCACTTCCTTTGCCCACCACAGCACTGTGTAGATTGATTCACTCTACTGCCGGTAACCGGCACCTGTAATACTTAGACGAGAGCGAGAGTCAAGTCAGTAGTACGCACGCCAAGAACAAGCTAGATGAGACAGTGATAACTCCATTGGCTCAGAACAGGGATCGTTGGTAGTCCATGTAGTTCTAATACATGTAAGCAATACATCAAGGAGAGCCCATCAGTACTCAGTAGCTTTTGCTAGGGAGCTAGCTACATCATCATCGGTACTCTGTGAATTGGTTCGTGATACCGCTGGTTGCGACTACTAAGAGTACAATAGTGCCGCTGTGCTTACTGAGTAGTTTCCAGGCACGCCCAGTGGTTACCGTACCGGTATCGTGTTGGTGGAAGAGAACCGAAGCAAGTTTCTCTCTTTAGGGTTGCGATCTTTGCCGCCTGCCTCGGACTGGACTGTCACTCGTTCTTCTCAATTTTTCCAGGTTTCCAGCCCTCTATGGAGGGCTCATGATTGTCCGTCGATCTGCTGGATTGCTTTCCGTCTCAGCATTTGAGAATAGGAAATTGGAGATATGTTGCATGGGCAGGGGTTGCACCAGACGGTTTCTAACCATGCAAGCAACAGAACCAGTAAAGCCAAATGTTACTTTTGCAACCACTCTTCCTTAGAGCAGTCTTGCTTGACAAGCAGGCAGAAGGAAGCCAGTAGCTAGTACCGGCACTGCCATGTAGTTGTGAATCGGTCTAAAGCTTGCATATAACATAACATGTCTATTAGGTTTTTAAAAGCTGGTGGAAGGCATAGTCTAAATATACGATGACATGCATGACTTGCTGCTCGCTCATGCAACCTTGCTGTACATTGGCTTTGGGGCGACAACTCTTCGGGCTCCGCACCCTCCGCAGTGAAGCTGTCTGCATTTGTTTCGATGAAACTGGCATGTGGGGTTGGAACAGGTCCACCTCTCAGGGTGAGCACACATACCGCAAAACCGGAAGTCCGGGTCGTTCTCTTCGCCACATAGGCAGATCCATGGCTTTGGTGGCTGCACCAGGGAAACTTGAATAGCACTGCATTCCGATGCAGATGTTGTACTTGTCCTGGTGCGTGCAGTACACCTAGAGTCATCCAAACGCTGCTTGGACTCATCAGAGTCCATGCCAAAGCTTCTAGGGTTCTTGGGAACCTGACGTCTGCGGCGGCCCTTGGGGGCCACGTAAGATGTCGGCTTTGGCGCTACGGCAGTCATGGCAGCCAACGCCTCGTCCAAGTTCTTCTGAAGAAGCACCTCTACGGAGTTGTTGATAGTTCCATCAGCCTCCTGCCATCTCAATGCTTGGGGAGAAGCGAGCATTTGAGGGATGTCAAAGTCGTCCTCCGATGCCAAAGTGGAGGAGCTGCTTGCCACAGAACTATCATCGTCGCTTGTTTCGGCTGCGTCGAAAACAGGTGAACCAAACACCTTCTCTGTGCACGAGACCGAGACTTTGGTGTCCTTCAAAATTTGAATCGCACCCGGAATGCGGGAGGTGCTACCTCGGGTCTGAACACTTTGCTTGGACCAAGAGTAGTTGAGATGAGATTCCTGGACGCCGTCACCCGAACGACGCTCTTGTCTCTGTCTCGCGATGCGCCTCGACAAGGAATAGCTAGAGTTTGTACTTCGAATGACCTTTCTTTCCATAGAATCGGTGGACGAAGTTGGTGTCCTTACAACTGTAGTCTTCATGTCGTTGGTGGATCGATACTGTCGCCTGAGAAAGGCACTATTTTCCGAGGGGCTTCTGTCTTGGTTTCTGCGTCGAGATTGACGTCTTTTCGGGTCTGAGCGCCGTTTAGGTGTGCACGCCATGGCCAATTGGCGAAGGCTGTTGGCAGAATTGTGGCGGCGAACGTTCCATTCTTCTTCGTTGCTTCGGTTTGCGATATTTGTGCAGGCCATTGGCCTGAGTTCAGGCTGACGGCTGGGGGCTCTGGGCGACCAGTCGTTGTTGGCCTTGCTGTTGTCAGGGCATGTCATCATCATTGCGGCGTTCGTTGGTTGGTTGTTTGGTTGTTTGGTTCGTCAAAAGTTGAGTGCCTTCTTTGTGATCAGATTTGTGGCTAACGCTACTGCGCCTCCTCCTCCTCTTTGCACCGAACAGGATCGCAAGGCCTCCGAACTCCTCGAACCAGTGTGACCAAAGGTTGCGGCAACAAACAACCCTGCAGGTTGATCCAAAGATCCAAAGAGACTTGGACTCTTGGTGGCCTCCTTCACTGAGCTTTGAATCCGGGAGGTCGGGAATTGGTTGCATTGTCTGAAGTAATACTAAAACCATATTTTACCCTATTTTAATACTATCAAAACCTTGTCGGCCTCGATTACGATGAGAAGACTTTTGTGGTCACGGTCTTGGTATGTTTCCAAGAATAGACAGTACGGCTGGAGAAGAAGAACAAGAAAGGACAACTTCATGATTCTGCAAAAAGTCAACAGAACAGTCATATTTTATAGATAGATTTGCTTAAAGAATGGAGGATCATCAAGTTACGACATAACGCTTGCCTTTAGTCGCTCATAAACTTCAATATGCAGTCGTAAACGTATGTCTTCCAGCCACTTCTACTAGTACCGTACTACCGTAGTCTAGTACATGTAACCAGGTGTGACCTTTTTCTCCGAAGTCCTTTCCCTGACCAGTGGTACCGGGCGGTACCTCCCTGCGTAGAAATGGCGGCTTGAAGACAGAAGAACACGGGTAGATCAGGTAAATATTGGTTACAGTTGTGAGGTAAGTTATGCTAGTTTGATTATTTGGGTTTACCGCATCAACCTCTATCTAAAGGCTTTTCTCTGAGTACTGAGTAACGCCTCACTTTCAAAACCGAGCGCTTCATTCAGTGATCTCCAGTAACTCCAGCTACTGGCTACTAGCCAGCAGATAGCAGATAGCTTGTACTAGAGTAGCTAGCTCTACTAGCTAGATCACCCAAATGTCTTGTACCATTAGCGGTATCCGGTATCTGTACCGAAAGCATCAATGCCGAACCATCAAAGCAAACAAAACAACTGAAATTTGCTGGACTGGCAACAAAGACGAGCGCAACACTGCAGCGCCCTGAATTGCGAGAAGCGAGAAGGAGGGAAGGGCGAACCCACGGTGGCGAGCAGCTGCGAAACCAGACAAGAATGCGACCAACGAAAAGAGCACAAGAGGAGAATGATTGCCTTCTTCAATCGACTACTGTTGATTGGATGCGGGGAGAACGTGACCTCCTCAAGGTGCACGAGGCAGCAAGGCGGCACCTGCGGCATCACCTGCGGCATTTTAGGTCGCAGTGGTACACCATGTAATCATAACAGCTATGTACCGTAAAAGTATGCCGGTATGCACTCCAACTGCAGTATGTCGAGAAGACAGCAAGATGTCACCTGATTTCAAAGAGATGTCAAAGAAAACTTACCTTCTTCGTCCAGACTGGCAACAGAACCAGAAGGACCACTTTGTTCACTCCGTCTCGATTGCTGTCGAATAAAATTTAATCTGAACTTAGTTTCCACCACCTGAGCAGCAATGATCAGCTTAAGTCACCCTGAGCGCCTGTGAGGATGGGATCACTCATCCTTTTCGATGGAGCTCACCCTACTGGTAGCTACGCAGAGGTATATCCAGTTTGCTTCGGTGCCTGCGGAGGCAGCTTGCTCTGGCTAGCTACCGTAGCAAGGAGTCCCGCCTGCCTTCTTTACAAGGAACCACTTCACAAAGTTCCCCTCCCAGCAATCAGGAAGAAGCCTGCCACCCACCAACTACTACCCACTCCAACAGATCAATTTGCAGAGAACTTCCAGGCTGTGGTCATCCTTCGGTCCTTCCACTGTTCGTCCATTCGTTGTGACTGGCAACATTGCATTTGCAGTATTTTGGCTTCCTCTCGTCACGCTGTCATTCGACTCCACTTGTCACTCTCTGAATTCAGGAGTAACGCCTGACAAATATGTTGGCAGCCTAAATGGCTTCAACGCTTTGCAAACTGTGACTGAGCAAAGATCCAATCTCCCTTTCCCAAGTCACATAGCGCTTCAACAACCATCCATGATGTAATACGGTATGCTCGGTTGAGCCTTGCCCTCGCTCGAGCAGCTAGGATGTGCCTTCGAGGCTCTATTGTTCCTGCTATCATCAATATCTCTAGGCGTTGGGATGATCCGCTCTTGATCTCTTGATCTCCTCCACTAGTCTTAGTCCTTTGATCCTCTCCGTCTCCTCCCTTGACACCGTTTCCACCAGCAACCAGCACTTCAGCTCTTCACAACTTCACAACTCATCACACAGCAACCATCCACGAAATGAAGCAGGTCGATTTAGGGTCTCTCCCTACTCCCCACATCGGCCTTGAACGTGTCTACCTAGTGGCTCTCACCCGAGCTTGTAGCATAACCATATCGTGAAGCATGTGCATCGGTACCGTAGTTCCTCGGTTGCAATTAGGCGCTACCTATCGGGGCATCTTGAATAAGTTGCCCAACCTCCGTCGCCGCTTTGCCGCTGGAGCTACAACAACTACGTACAGAGGTTTGGGTCCCAACCTGTTCCAATCCTTTTTGATTTTGTTTCTGCCGCGTCTTACACTGGTTTCACATACGGTACATCTAACGGAACATGGATTCCTAGCGAGAAACCAAACCAGGACTAGTATCTTGTCGTCATTGTTGAAACCCATGGCGATGCAGCCACCAAGGCCCTTGAGTGTCCATTCATTCATAACAATGCAATCATTAATGGTTATTTCATGTGCAGCTCTATACAGTGTTCTTTTCAATTACCCAAGGGAACGGACAGTTCCTCAATTGTTGTCCTTTCTTATGCGATCAAGCCCTTTTCAAATCTAGTTCACGCAAGGACTGTGTGGCCTGTGTGTGATCTGCCTTTCATGGTCATCTCTGTGTCCCACATCCAACACAAAACTTGAAGCGAGGTTCATTGTCCAAACGACCACAGCCAGCGCACTCCCAATTCGTCTCTACTTTTGGCTTGGCACCACCACAGATTCCGCAAAAGTTGAACCTATCCTTGTTGCATTCACCGCAGGGACACTCCCACGTCGGATCTTCTGTAGCGGCCGCTTCTTGTGGCAGTAGCAGCGAGGATGAAGACCCCCGTGATTGTGAGCTGCATCTTCCACTCTCCCTGCCACGATGGCTGCCACTGTTAGTACTGCTACGATGACTTTCCTTGCTGCGATGGCCACTTTTGCTCTTGCTCTTGCGGTGTTTGTTGTTGCTGTTGCTGTTGCTGTTGTGACTGTGATGATAATGTTTGTTGTTGTCGTTGCTGTTACTGGTGCTGCTGTGATGTTTGTGACCGCTGCTGCTGATTCGGTGACCGCTGGTGCTGCTGTTGTTGGTAGCTGTAACGCTCGTCATGGACCCCCGAAGCAGCGCCGTGACGGCTGCTTGATCGTGCTGATACTGCCTTGCCGAGCGCGAATTGGATCGGCTGGAATACAAGTTGTCTTCTTCGAATTGGACCGATCGGGTGCTTCCATCCCCACTGGATGTTTTGGAGGCGTTCAGTATCTCCATGGCCCTTGCCCGGGCCAATACAGCAGCGTCTTGAGGCGACAATTGAAGGGGTGGTGTTTCTTCAGGGTCACTGTCGACAATGTCATCGGCTTCTTCCGGTTCTTCCTCCTCACCACCATTGACCAGTACTAATGGACCTTCGGACCAGCTGGCGGAATCTCGTCTTGTCGTGTCGGTCCCGGAACTGGGGTTCTTGTCAATGCCTGGTATCGTTTTGGGAGTTGAGGAGTTGGTCTTGAGAGTGTGACTTCCCTGGGCACTTGTCTTTGGAGGAGGAGCAAGCCCTAAAGGTGTACTATAGGTGGGCGTCAGTGGTTCTGCCGTGTAGTTGTTGTTGGAAGCTCCTGTGGTCGTCCCCGAAGACACGTTATAATTGTGGGCGTAGTCAGGTTCCAACACGATGGGTGTCACTATTTTCGATGGGCGTTCTTGCTGTCGCTCTGTCTTTCGATGAGCACCGGAATCGTCCGAGATGGATGCGTGAAAGCTTTTGCGCGATTGTTGTGGTGTCAACGTTTGGAAGCTTTTGCGCGAATTGTTGGACAGTCCCAAACTCGCACGGCTTCCACGAGGAGTAGTGGTCACGGAGGATGCTGCAAACGCCGTTTCCAAATCCATGCTGCTGGTACTAGTAGTGAACGACGCATGGGAGCGGGACGGAGTTTCCGCCACCTCTTTGCTGACCGTCGATTCCATATTGTTGCTGTCGCCCTTCAACATTGCCAGCGATCTTGCCGAGAGTTGATGCGAAGATGATCCCCGCGCTAGTGAGGAACTACGCGAGCGCTGTGGTCGATGATTACTGGAACTTCGTGATGTGTTTCGTCGTGCGACAGAAGCACTTCGACTTCGAGATCGACGAGCTTTTCGTTCGTCTTCGCTTCGAACGGAAACGGCAGACGATGAGCGTCGGCGTTCCTCGTCGCCTTCTTTTCGGCTCTTTTTCCTGTCCTTCTTGTCTTTTTTCTTGTGCTTGCGGCTCTTGTCCTTTTTCCTGTCGCCTTTAACTTCGCTACGTCGTGACTTTCTGTGTCGCTTGGAGGACGTGGTGGAATGATTGCTAGATGTAATCCCTGTTCCATAGACAAAGTTCTTGCCAGGTTGTAGTTGTTGTTGCTGTTTTCGTTGTAGTTGATTGTGCATTTCATTGTCGGAGAATCGCCGACGAATGGGCTTTCGAACATCGCAGTGTTGACGCTCCAAGGATGCCAGACCACTGACGGAATGAGATCGAGACAATCTGCTGGTGGCCGGCAGACGAGGAGCGTCGGGTTTGTTGGCGCATCCCTGCGGAGCTTTCGGTTGGCTGGAACTGATGCTAACGCTATCGAGCAAATTGGGAAGGGAAAGCTGGTCAAAGAGCCTGCTGCTGCTGCTGCTCCTCTTGAGCCCAGGATTGGGCATCGAGAGCTGGTCGCCCAATTTGCTGCTCCTCTTGAGCCCATGATTGGACATCGAGAGCTGGTCGCCCCATTTCTTGGCAAATTTGATGGGAGTCATGACCGACTTGAAGATCTGCGCCGTGCTGCCCACGGACCCTCGACGCTTCTTCCCTTTGCCGAACACATTCTCATTTTGTGAACTGTCATCCAAATCCTTATTAGACATGTCGGCCTCGTCAAACTCCAAACTGTCCTCCTTGCCACTACTGTTGTTGGCGATGCCTAAAGCGTCGGGCATGATCATGGTCGACGACATAGAAGGAAGAAGGAACTGCGCTTTTTCTGCGAGACTACGGACGGGTCGCTGGTTGTCGTGGTGTCCTTCTCCGTTACTCCCTCACCTACCAGTAGCAAGCTCGCTTTAAGTTAGATCCACCCAATCTCCAACCCACCGAGCACTAGCTAGCTAGCGAGCTCGCTGGACCTCTTCTTGTTGTTGACGATAGTACTTCTCGCTTGTCTATGGCCAATCTTTCGCCTGAATTGTATTGTTGTTGGGGGCTCTGCCCTCTTGCTTCCTGCATGTAATTTTGGTCAGAACCGGGCTCGCATTCTGCTGGTGCTTTCCGGCTGCGGTGGTGCTCCCAATCAGTACAGCTATGGTAACAATTTACCACTCTGAAACCAGTGACAAACCCCTAATCAGGGATAAGAGGTAATACAGTACCGTACTGTACATTTCTTCACGCTTCACGGTGCTGTACCGGTACTGCTAACTGAGCCCACCTGCGCGTCTTCCCAAGCAAACAACTGTTGCTGTCGGTAGACTAGTCATTTATTAAAGGTTCAGATAAATGAGGCATTGTTGTACCGTACGGTACGTATGGCTAATAATAAGCGCATTTGGTTTTAAGTATGCACCGGCAGCTTGTGGCCTAAAAATTTACAGGGGTTGCATACTCCTTACTTTTCTGCCATGAAACAATGATGATATGGAATAATCGAATCGTCCTAGCTAGTAATTGTGCGTATCTGAAGGGATGGGATTGTCCTGTTCACCACATGGGAGAATCGAATCGAAGTCTACTAGCAACCGTAGACCGTTGGTACACTAGCTCTTGCTAGCTAGCTCAGTTCACTTTCTTGCCAGCCTGTTGCTTGCCGTCCACACTACCGTAGTACACTGTACCAAGGGAGCAAGAGCAATTTAAAACCCAAAGAATTCCTTCAATGAACATTGACAACACGTACACTCTTTCCAGGAAGCACCAATCAAAGGTGGATACTGGTACCAGCTACCTAGCTACCGAACCGGTAGTCAGAACATGCACCATCAGGAGGATCTCACCGTGTGCGCTTGGGTACAGCACATGTACTACGGTACTACTAGCTAGCTAGTACGGGTATGCATACTTGCACCAGTCAATCTGGAACAGCTTGTTGAAACTTTCACCATTCTCCCTGAAGCTAAGAAACAAAAAGGTTCAGCAAGGTTCTCAAAGCGCAGAGGGAAGTATGGTTTAGCGTTTAGCGAGCCACGGACATTTCCTTCGATTTTGGATGCTGAAAAGTTTTCACTGGTGATGAAGTCAGCCATTTTTATTAAATGGCTGTTCCAGAATGCTCCAAGCCCGCTAGGCTGATGGCCGTTCTTTTGGAAGCTCGTGCTTCCCTCCGACAAACGTCACAGAGCAATCAAAAGCTTCAATGAGCAATGAGCAATGAGCATGCAATGAGGTACCGGCGAGCCAAGGGCTTCCATAGCAGAGTGGGCTGTAGAGTATTGGATTTGTTGCTACAATACGAAAGCAGGTAGTGAGCAAATTTCAATACTCTGGAGAAGAAGATAAGCTTCAGTTTCTCCTTTCTTACTAGCTCGCTACAGTCGTTTGCACCTCTCACGATTACATGTTTCGAGGCTGCTGAACATCTCAACTTGAACGATAAAGAGACGTGTCAATTGTCATGTCCAAGCGAAAGCCATTGGTAGTATTGGCAGGATGGTTGGGTTGCCAGAAGAAATCTTTGCGGCGCTATGACCATTTATTCTCCCAACTCGGCTGCGATGTTTTTTCCGCAGTTGCCCCACCTGCCATGGTGGTCGGCTCCTGCTACTCCAAACCCATCCTCGAACCACTCACGTATCCACCCCAGTGGCCTGCCCACGGTTGGTCACCTGAATCCATGCAGGGCGTTGCGTGGGAAGTCTTGCGATACATTCACAATCACAACTGCGAGTATTTTGTGTTTTACGCCTTTTCCAATGGAGGCTGCTTTGTCTGGGAGCAACTGAGTCGCATCTTGTATCAGCACCATGATTTGATTGACAATGAAAATGAAACTAACATTGATCCAAGCAGTATGTCGGAGATGGACGCAGATATGGCCAAAGGGCGCCGCAAGTTGTTGGGTGCCCTCCAACAAAAAGCAGCGGGCGTTGTGTTTGATTCCTGTCCCTCCCAAGAACTAGGCGAAGTTTCGCAGGCATTGACCATGTGCAGCTTCAGTGAGCGTCTCCAAGTGATGAGAATGCCAGCGGATAGTGGCGGTGGACTCGATGTGGCATTCTTCCCCAGCATGGTTTCCGCCGAAAAGAAGGAGAGAGCCAACCAAAGAGGAGCTGCGTATCACCACGGCCTCAAGACAGATCCTTGCGACATCCCACAGCTATACTTGTACAGCGAAAACGATGCCCTGATTCCTTCCACCGGTATTGATGAGATTTACAATCATCGGCGAGAAACCATTGGAGCTGATCGAATTTTACGTCGCAAGTGGGAGTCGTCTCGACACTGTGCTCATTTGATCGACCATCCCAACGACTATGAGACAACCATGAAGGAATTTCTACAGTTGACCCAGGATCGCCACAACACCAAGCCGCATTCAAAGCTCTAACAACCACAACACAAGTAGACTCCGTTTCTCTTGCTGGAATCGAATCACAACCGCTGGCGCCAGTTTGCGCAAGATGTACCGGATATCACGCAAGACATGCAATATACTAAAACTGTACTTTCCTTGTTAACCATGTACAGATCTGTATGATCATTGTTGGACGCGCAACCACCCTAAGCTCTCTTTGCTCCACTTGTGCCACCTTCACGTGTCTGTCACTCACTCACTCGCATTGCAGCACAACACACGACTGCAGTTGGCAAGGATCTCTAGCACTCCTTCTTTCACTCTGTGGCACAGCTCATCGGGAAGGCTTCCCGTTACGGCAGTGCCTCGGATGTCAAGCTTGGTCAAAGCTGTGAGATTTCCCAGTGAAGCAGGCACCGTCCCGTTGATAAGAGGGTTGGCTGACAAATCAAGCTCGTGCAGCGATGTGACCAATCCCATCTCAGTGGGAATGGGGCCATAGGAACCGGTTGCACCGATTTTCAAATGAGTCAAGTTCTTGCAATTATGGAATGTATGTGCAAGGCGGGCATTGTACGGATTTCCAGTTTGATCAATGAACTCAAGCTTTGGCAGGAAATAATAGACATCTTCAGTTCCACCATACAACGTGTTGCCATCCATCTTGACAACTCTTAGATTTGAAAGCGAAAAGGAACCTTTTGATTGGATGAAGCCATCAAACTTGTTGTTTGAAATACTCAAGATTTCCATGAAGGTTTGCTGAGCATTGATTATTGGAAGGTTGCCAGAAAGACCATTGTCTGAAAGGTCAAAGATTCGGTTGAACATTGACCCTGCTGGTATAGGATTTGGTACATATCCCTGCAAGTTGTTGGAGCTAAGGTTCATGACAAGCACATTGTCATCTTGATCGCATACTTTCTCGGGTTCTTTGCCTTCATGCCAACCTTGTATGCTGAGGCTGCTTTTCTGGGAGAACCATTCACACTCTGATACATTGTAGCTCAGCCAATGATCATACTGCGTCCAGTTGTGACCATTGGACACAAAGTACATCCAAACCATGGAGAAACGTTGATTCTTCCTTTCAAGGGAGTAAGATTGGAGTCTCGGATCTTGCAGCATCCAAAGATTGGCCTTGTAGCAAGCACTTCCCACTTCCTGTATCTTTTTTGCAATGTCTTGGGGAAGCCCCTCATCAAATGGTGGATAAAGGACCGAATCTGTTTCCTCTGGGTTGTTGTTGCTACCGCTGCTGTTGGTAGCTTGCCCCATCTCACCCTTTGAAGGAGAAAGGGTGAACACTAGCAGCACCACCACCACCGCTACAACAACAACCAGAGCTATGGAGCAAACTGCAGCACCGTTGTTTTTAACAGGGGGCTCAGGCATGACTTGGCCATGAAACACTTCTTCCGTTTCAAGGTCCATGGCCCCAGACTCCACATCTGCTACATCTGCTACAGATGGGTCAACAAGGAACGCATCATTGATTGGCTCGTCACAAGATTCATTACGTGAAAGAGCACTGCTGGATTCTTCTCCATCTTCTTCTTGGAGCCCTCCAACAGCGTGCGCCCCAGGTAGACTCTCCTCCGCGACACCCTCGGTCGAAGCACTCTCTTCTTTACTTCCTTGTGCTTTTTCCGGTCCATCAAGCTTAGTAGGAACCATGTTGCCTACCGGTACCGAGTGGTGATCAGGGTTCTTACGTAGAGCCTTGGCTCCGTCTTCCACAGCACCAATACCGGTATCCACCTGTCGCGCCTCCGTGTTGTCAGCAGGCGTTTGGTAGCGCTCAGCAATCACCTTTAGCAAGAAGTTTTCATCTTCGCTGTCATACTTTTCCTCTTCTGCTGTCTGGTGGTTGCGATCAGCTTTCTTTCCATTCCTCGTAGTGGGTGCCATGGCTTTCTTTTGCTAGAAAAGATTGAGAATAGAGTGATCAGTTTGAGTTGTGAGGTACAGTGAGAGGTGTGAGGTTTGGGGACAAAGGATTACCTACATACATGTTGGAGGTTGGAGGCGAGTAGTCTCTAGTGGAGAGAAGGTCGCCAGCTGTTGCAAGAAAGATTCTGATCACGGGTCCAGTTACCCGTACCGGTATCGGTATAGGAAACCAGAAACAGAAAAGTGGGCCAAAAGCTTTAACCTCCTGTTCAAAGGGGCACAAAGGCATTCTGTTGGTTCCTTGGTTCAAGGGTACCTTCCCTTAATTACTAGTAGATGCTGCACAGGGCCAATCTGCTCGTTCATTATTTCCAAATACGGAGTACTCCTGGACTTGGTAAAATTGATGAGTCTTTGCATTAAAAGATTCTTTTTAGCTAAGATTTGTTAAATCTTGTATTTACAATATTTATTTGTGTGGTCCTTTGAAAAAGGGTGTGTGTGCCGGTAGCGAGATAGCTGCTGCAAAAAAGCAGCTAAAAAAGTCCAGAAACCTGGTCCAAAAGCTTCAACCTGCTGTAAAAGGGACACAAAGGCATTCTGAATGTTCCTTGGTTCAAGGGTACCTCCCATTAATGGCTACTGGAGTACTAGATGTGGCACTAAACCAATCTTCTTTTCATTAACTGTTGCTGATGTCCCAATGATGAGATTTTGCATTATTAGGAGCACTAAATTTTTCTCAGATTATAGACTTTTTATGCAAATAATTGGAAATCTTGTACTCTAGCTAGCTAGTATAAAAATTTCTCCTTTTTTAATGGTGTCAAACAGCTAAGCTGCAAACCTAGTAGGTCATTGGTAACAATGATGAGTCTTTGCCTTTTAAATCGGCTTCTTTTTAGTCTGAGATTTGTTAAATCTTGTACAGTATATACAGCATCGATTGTGTTTCTTATTCAATGGTGTGCAAACTTAGATTATTGAATTAGGAGACCGAAAACGGTACTGAGTACTGCTATCATTACTCTGCATGCATATGCATGTGCCGGTACAATGTACTTACCACTAGTCTACTTACAATCTGCCTGTCCGGTTCGTGTATGGATACCAATCTCCTGTACGGGCGGAACCGGTAGCCACACACTCCAAGAACTACATGTAGATGCAAAGCATCCAAGCATCCTGATCTGTAGCGGACTCAAGAGCTATGTACTTGCTAGCTAGCTAGCTAGCTAGCTAGCTAGCTGCCCGAGCTACTGGCACCAAGGAGCGATAGGCTGAGCTGTCTACCGGTAGCTTTGTGCGCAGTCTAGCCAGCTAGCAGATCTCGGCTTTTGATTCACCCAGTAGCAAGCAAGCAGCAATTGTTGCTTGATTGCGCTTTGCTGGCTGGCTGGCTGGCTGGCAAGCACAAACTCCCATCCAAGGGTTGCAGGCACATGTTTCAGTGCTCCACTGAGGACGTGCAAATCATTGAAGGGGGTACATGCAGTACCGGTTTCTACATATTGGTTGCGAGGAATGCTGCTGTCATCACAGTAGGCGCGCCCTGTTCTTTTCTTAATTTGCTCGGTGATGGCAGTCTGACCAGGAGGACGTCCATTAGTGGTTGATGTTGCTAGAAACTTAAAAGGTTTGGTTGTTGTATTTTGTCAGTAGCAAGATCCGTGAATAGTATACATTCAGAGCACCATTGCTGGGCCCAGACAAAGATGCCAAGGTTCCGTTGCGATGAAGCTAATAATGGAGCCAGAGAGCGCTACTACGGCGGGTTAATCGAAGTTATTTCTGGAGTAAGATTTCCCCCGCCCCTTCAGGCCAAAGATTGCTGGTGGGCTTGAGACCACAGAACACTTGGCTGCAATCCTTGCAATCCCCTTTTATCTACACTTTGCCAGGATCTTTGTCATGATTGAGCCTGAAACAGGCCGGGGGGTGCCTCAAATCAACCTCGTGTGTGTGATTATATCCCCAACCACCTGGACTGGGTAGACATGTTATGGCGAAAAGATTGTAAAAAAAGGTCTAATGCGGTCAAGATTGGTAAGACAAATAAAAGCGGTGAAAAGCGGTGAACAAGTGGTGAACAAGCGGTAAAAAGGCGGCAAACAGGTGGTAAACAAGGCGGTTGAAGGCGGTTGGAGGCGGTCGAAAGCGATTAAAAACGGCTAAAGTTGGTTGAAGACGGAACGCTCGTCGCCAAACTGTCAGAGAGGTGGGGTAAGAAAAGAAGGGGCAAAACCAGTTGGTTTGAGGCACCCCCCCGCCCCTACTAGCTAGCTGGTAGTAGGAGGAGTTACAGCATCCATCTTCCATCTGAAAAGCTGAATGAATCTTCAATCGATTCGTTCGGATGGGCATGCCAAGCATTATGCTCGCAGCAGCAGGTACAGTATATATTTATTTGAAGATTTTTGACCTCATGTTTATCGATCAGAGGATTTAGGAGTGATGTTTCTTTTAGCATAATGGTAGGAGAGGTAAAGTATTAAATTTCAACATAATTTATCCCCAATCTCCAGCCACGTGGACTCTTACTACCAAAGTACACCTTGCTTTTGTTCGAAGAACGAGGGTTGAATACTCAGCGTGTCTTCATTACTTAATAAAAAAACGACTTGTAGCTCTCGCTTACGTAGGCCTTTTAGCTTTTTAGGAATTAAGAGATCGCAAAAGTCCTTTTCTCGTTCTTCAGGCCAACTGCCCAGGCTGCCGGTGCCGGTATGTCATACCGGTACACCCACACATGGCATGCCAACCAACCACCACCAGCGCGTTTCATGCAAAGCCATCCAACAACACAACACAACACAACACAACACAACCGGATCAACCAGGCTCAAGAAGGAGCGGCGAGAGGCTGGACTGTATTGATACCTTTAGATAGCCAGAAGAAGATGGCGGACTCTGCCGAAATCCAACCTGCATCCGCTTTGGGCAACAACAATGACAGAACAAATGATTTGCTCCTGGCGCCCCAGCAACCCATGGGAAACCGTGAGGAGGTGCCGATGGCGGGGGCTGTAATGGGGTTCCCCGTAGGAGTACCGGTAGTAGAAGACTTTGCCAGGAGGAACAACAATAAGCCATATCGCTTCGACATTACGGTGGATAGAAGCGCTGATACCTGCGTTTCTTCGGTAACAGAAGATATTGTTCTGCACGCTCGCCACAGTGGAAACGGACTCTACCCGTCAATGTCAACCTGCCACGAAGCAGAGGAACCAGATCCTCCAGGTGCTACAGCGGATGAAACGGATACCAAGCCAGCTGCGATCCCAACTACTCAATCCGATACAATGGACATGACACCAGCGACACTGCAACAGGAGCAACTTTCGACCGGTACATCTTTGGTAGACATGGAGAACCGAATTTTGGGGAAGAACAAGACTGGTACATCACAGCAGCAGCAACTTTCTACACTGGAGGGAGAGACACCGCATCCAACAAAAGATAGAACCGTCCCCTTGCGTTCTGTGGCCATTGGTGTAGACGTAAACTCCACTACTTTACCGCCACTCGCGGAGGCATTGGACACTGTGGAGAGTGCTGAAAAGACGATTGAGAGTACTGAAAAGTTGACCAAGAAGCAAAACCTCGTCGTCGAGTCAGGCGAGGAAAGCAACGACGAAACATCCAACGTGGAGCCTTCGTTGTGGAATCCAGGACCAGTCACGGAACCTGGAGCTTTTCCTGTCAGCACCCCAGGCTTCTCATCGTCGGTCCAGTTAGCCATGGAAGCAATGGCCAGGTCCAGTACAGACACTGCTCCCACTGTTAGCCTAGACACTGCCCCCACTGTTGGCCCAGTCACCCTTGATGCAACTCTGGCGCCGACAGCAGGACATTCTGGTACTGTCCGTACGGCACGACGCAACCGTGCGACTGCTTCAAGGAGAGACGAGGAACACGGTTATGTGGTGGAAGCAAAAGTGGAACCAGATTCTACCAGGGACTACAGGACATATTTCTGGCTGGGTGCTATTCTTGTTTTGGTGGTAGTTGTCGTCCTGTTGTCATTGGGCCTTGCGGGCGTTTTTGCTGATTCGGAGCAAGAGCCAGACAGCAATAACAGCATGAATCAGAGCTCCAACGAACCAATCATCGTCGCAGGGACCCTGTCAAATGGTACAGTCAGTCAGAAAGTAGTACTGCAATCTCGGTTGGAGCAAGTGCGAATCCGTGGATACCTAAAGTGTTCCAGAATACCAAACCCCGACTCCATGCAAGCAGATCCTGACATTGAAAAGGTGGGCGAGTGGACACCATCATTCTGCTATGCCATTGCCGCTGCCATATGGGGTAGTACAAACAAAACAGACCTGGAACAACGAGTACAGTTCCTGGAAGTTGGCTTGCTGGTTGGAAGCGATGAACCGGCTGACGTTGTCCCAGTTGGAATCAGCAGAACCATGACAGGCAATGTATACAATGTAAGTGGCTTGTCAGGTGCATGCGTTGCCCCTCAGCGTAGCAACGGTTTCCCGTATTCATTCCGATCTTTCTTATTCATTTGGTTGTTGCCAGGCCGCCGAGCAGAGTGGACAAGCCATGAGTACTCCGTTCATTTTCGATGGGTACAGGGTGTCTGGAGATCCATTTTATGTCGACTGTTTTGATAACAAGTCTTTCAAACATGTGGGCGAATGCTCTGACCTTCTATTCTGCGTTTCCACGGGTAGTACCTGGGCTCGATTTGTGCATGAGGTGTTACCAGAGCGCAAAATCAAAGACATCGACAGCTTCGATGGTGTTATGCAATCGTTCGCTGAAGGGGGCTGCAATATCTTTATGACGTTTGGTTTGGGCCAGTCAGAAGTCGTCATACGCGATGTGTTTGGATACTATGGCAACTACACATTGGGGTCGAAGTTGTACACAAGAGAGACCAGAGTTTTGGTTACTCAAGCTGATGATCCGCAGTGGAGCAGCTTTGTGGATGTAGTGCTGCAGTCCCTGTTGGAAGCAGAGATGCACAACATCACACAAGCTACTGCCCATTTAATGCCACGGACAACTGTCTTTGGTGAGGACTACAGCGACATGTTTAAGCACGTGATTCGTGCAATGGGAAACTACGGGGAGATACACCAGCGTTACTTGTATCCAATTCTGCCAAGGGAGACGATAAACATGATCAATGATGGTACAACTGGTATGCTTTATGCCCCTGAGCTAGGTGTGTATGACCCAGTTGGGGACTACAATCGACAATTGGGGCCAAGGCTGCAGAGAGTGTTGGATCGGGGGCGAGTCCTGTGCGGTGTGAGATTTGGCCGTGATGGATTTGCTGCCAAAACGAACAGTTCACAGAGTTCGGGCATCGACGTGGATTTCTGTCGAGCGGTTGGGGCTGCTTTGTTCGGAGGCGACACGCGCTCTGTGGAACTTGTGCAAGTGGAGGGTCAAAAGGATGGGTTCATGAAACTTGCTAGTGGTGCAATTGATGTTCTTGCTGGGGCCACTTGGAATCTGGCCAACAGTGTGAACGAACCAGGAACTGGGTTGGGCTTTGCGTTTTCCCTACCCTACTACTATGCCCAAGGCCTAGCTGACAGCATGGTAGATCCTAATCTTTGCCTCGCTACAATGCAGGATGATCATGATTGGAAAACATTCGTATATTGGACCATGGTGGCCACTATCTATGCGGAAGAGCATGACATTCATCGATTGAACCACAACGAGATGCCGATGGTTCATGTCTATGGGGACGGGCTGCGGAGAATGCTGCGAGATGCTATTCTTGGTGTTGGAAACTATGCAGACATATTCAGTCGCAACCTCGAGAACCGGTCAGGGCGAAATCTGCTGAACCAGGGGGCCGACCCAGGTCCAGGACTCTACCCAATGCTTGATATCTTTGTTTAGTGGGGAAAGTAACTATCTGGGATAGTCAAACGGTAACGGTGGCTTTGCTGTGGATGGAATAGAAGTCAGGATGATTCGCAGAAACCAGGCGATCTCATCCGCCCATGTCACTAGAAAAATTTTGATTAAAGAAGGAGTCGAGCAAATACTGGTACACTGGTACCATACAATCTTCTTTTAGCGCTTTATGAGCTCTGCTGGCTTGAATCTAGACCCTTAGCGTAGATTGAAGATTCGCAGATCAATCCCTTCGGGATTGCCCTCGGTCGCCTTCTCCTTCTGCTGCTCATCATCCATGGTCAAGTGGTTGGTTGTTGGCTATCTCTCAGTCCGGATGGACTGGGGGAGAGCCTCACAACGCTAATCCCGAAGGGATTGTCCGGCAGAGACTAACTCCAGTCATAGTGAAGCACCAGTAGCAGAGCAAATGAGGGTCCACAACTTAAAGCCAGCATGACCGGCAGAACTGTAGGTGGTGCCTGCTACCCAGCATTGGCATTGGATGAGCTGGCACCAACAAGATAACAAGCACCAAGTGCTTATTCTCTTGTCTTTGTACACCAACAACAGTTGATGTACAAGCCTTCGTTTTCCTGCATCCCAACACCCGCCCCCCGGTGGTCAGAAGAAGCTTTCAGTCCAGGTTCAGTTTTCAATCCTGACCTAGACTTCACATCTCTTTCTGGGTCATGCTCAGCTAA